GGTTCAAAGCCAGGTTCAAAGCCAGCCCAGGCAGGAGAGACCGTGAGACTCCTATCTCCAATAAATCACCAGAAAACCGGATGTGGCGCTGTAGCTCAAGTGGTAGAGCGCTCACCTTGAGCTGAAGAGCTGAGGAACAGCGCCCAGGCCCAGAGTTCAAGCCCCACGACTGACCAAAAAAAAAAAAAAAAGAAGCATCTGGTTGGACAGGTACTGGTGGCTTATGCCTATAATCCTAGCTACTCAGGAGGCTGAGATCTGAGGATCACAGTTTGAAGCCAGCCCAGGCAGAAAAGTCCCATTGAAACTCTTATCTCCAATTAACCATTCAAAAACCAGAAGTGGCGGGCTGGGAAGGTGGCTCAGTGGTAGAGCGCTTGCCTTGCATGCATGAGGCCCTGGGTTCGATTCCTTAGCACCACGTAAGAAAAAAGCTGGAAGTGGCGCTGTGGCTCAAGTGGTAGAGCGCTAGCCTTGAGCTGAAGAGCTGAGGGACAGCGCCCAGGCCCAGAGTTCAGGCCCCATGACCAGATCCCCCCCCCCCCAAAAAAAAGAAATACCAGAAAATGAGGTGTCTTTGCTAATACAACACATTAGGAGTGCATAATGCTACTCAGTGCCATTATTAGTGATGATAACTTTGATTCTTCTCTTTGTAATCATTAACTAATCTTGAGAGCACATAAATGTGTTCCACTAATTCTAGCATTCATTGACAATTCTTACATGAAGCCAGTATTAGTACGCTAGTTGTCACGTGGTAATTTCTAATTCCATTGTTCTTTTTTTTTCTCCCTTTCTTTGTGACAGTACTGGGCCTTGAACTCAGGGCCTGGGCACTGTCCCCTAGCTTTTTTGCTCGAAGTGGGCATTCTACCACTTGAGCCACTACTCTACTTCTGGCTTTTTGGTGGTTCATTGGAAGTAAGAGTCTCACAGACATTTCTGCCCAAACTGGCTTCAAACCATGATCTTCAGATCTAGACCTAAGTAGCTAGGATTACATGAGTGAGCCACCAGCGCTCACCCCACTGTTCCTTCTACACTCATCACATTTATTAATTAACATTTTACTCTATGGAGAAGCTTTTACCTTCTCTGCCTTTTATATTTGTTTTCATTCACTCATGAATATCACTATGGACGTGTGGGTTCTTTTTTAGGCAGTGGGTTATTATATATTGACTTTTCTTTTTTTGGTTCCAGGGTTCAAACACAGAGCCTTCCACATGCTAGTTAAGCACTCTACCTAGCTTAGCTACAACTCTAGTCCAGTTCTCTATTTGGCCTGAAGCTCCATGATAAATATCCACTAACAAAAACAAAAGAGGAGCTGGGAAGGTGGCTCAGTGGTAGAGCGCTTGCCTCGCATGCCTGACGCCCTGGGTTTGATTCTCAGCACCACATAAGCAAAAAGAAAAAAAAAGCCAGAAGTGGCGCTATGGCTCAAGTGGTAGAGCGCTAGCCTTGAGCTGAAGAGCTGAGGGACAGTGCCCAGGCCCAGAGTTCAGGCCCCACGACCGGATTTCCTCCCCCCTCCCCCCCCTTCCCCGCCCCAAGTACTGACTGGAAATGTGGCTTAGTGGTAGAGTGCTTGCCTTGCATGCATGAGGCCCTAGGTTCGATTCCTCAGCACCATATAAACAGAAAAAGCCAGAAGTGGTGCTATAGCTCAAGTGGTAGAGTTCTACTACCTGAGCCATACCTCCACTTCCAGCTTTACCTCCACTTCCAGCTTTGTAGTGGTTAACTGGAAATGAATCTCACCGACATTGGTGGGGGGGGAGGGAGGATGGGAAGGGATGGGAAGGGGAAACAAAGGAGGCTACAATGCTTGATAAGAAATGTAATCATTATCTTGCCCATGTAATTGTAACCCCTCTGTACAGTATTTTCACAATTTAAAAAAAAATCTCACAGACAAGACAGCTGGTGGCTCACGCCTGTAATCCTAGCTACTCGGGAGGCTGAGATCTGAGGATCATGGTTCAAAGCCAGCCCAGGCAGGAAAGTCCATGAGACTCTTATCTCCAATAAGTGTGGCTCAAGTGGTAGAGTGCTCGCCTTGAGCTGAAAAGCTCAGGGACAGTGCCCAGGCCCAAAGTTCAAGCCCCATGACCAACAACAACAACAACAAATCTCACAGACTATCCTGCCTGGGTTGGCTTCACACCTCGAACTTCAGATCTCAGACTTGTTAGTTGCTAGAATTATAGGCACAAGCCACAGGCATCCAACTACAACTACAACTATGTTATTCCTTTGTTTGTAAGTTTGCAACTTGAGCAAGGTTAAATGGAAGCAACCTTTCTTGTTCCACATATGGTTATCTAGAATGGATCCAATAGGCTGAAGAATCCATCTCCAAAGTGGCCTTCTTCACATTACTGGTGATTTGATGCTAATTGTTGGCTGTATATTCAACTAAGGCAGTCTAGACCTCAGTGATTCCTTTCTCTTTCTCCCTCCACCCCCTCTCTCTCTCTGGTTAGGTTGGGCTTTTCACACCATGCAAATCTGAGAACTAAAACTCCTAACACAACAGCTACCTTCCCCCATGAATCCAAAAGTTGAATCTAAAGGGCCTTCTTACAGTCTAGGCCCCAAACTAGCACAGCATCACTTTAGATGCATTTTATTTCTGGGGTCCGGTCATAGGGCCTGAACTCTGGGCCTAGGTGCTGTCCCTCAGCTCTTCAGCTCAAGGCTAGCGCTCTACCACTTGAGCCACAGCGCCGCTTATGGCTTTTTTTCTTTTTGCTTATGTGGTGCTGAGGAATCGAACCCAGGGCCTCATGCATGCAAGGCAAGCGCTCTACCACTGAGCCACCTTCCCAGCCCTTTAGATGCATTTTATACATTAATGCAAGTCACATAAAGCAAACATTATACCTGGAATCAGGAATGAGGCAGAATTGAGAATTTGAGGCCAGCATTGCTATGTAGCTATGGTGTCGCTACATAGTAAAATCCTTTTTGAAATAATCAAAACAAAAATAAGTCAATTCATAGGGCTGGTGTAGATTGAAAATGAGGGAACTACCAACAAATACAAATACTGAGAGTCAGGTTTCCTTTGAGACCACCAAAGTCTACATAGAAAACTTTATAGTCCCCCACAAAATATTCTGTAATTATACATGTCATCACCTCCAACTATATTTTTAAAGAAATCTGTGAAAAACCTACTTGCTTGCATCCAATTCTGTGTTATACTCTGTTGCTAATTATCACTAATTCTATATTACATTTTTACCATTTCTGTTAATACATTCATAATCATCCCAAACTAGGAATGATGAAATCATTCCAGATTATTGGATTTTTCCTGACCTATACTTTATTGTCCAAAAAAGCATGAGGATTCCACTTCCTTGAGAGACAATTTATTTTTCACTTTACTTATGCTTAAGATACTATCAACTAGCTGGGCATCAGTGGTACATGCCTGTAATCCTAGCTACTCAGGAGGCTGAGATCTGAGGATCATGGTTCAAAGCCAGCCCAGGCAGGAAACTCCAGGAGACTTACCTCCAATAAACCACTCCGAAAACTGGAAGTAGCACTGTGGCTCAAGTGGTAGAGCACTCAGCTGAAGAGCTGAGGGACAGCACCCATTGAAAGAAGGGGAGGGGCTGAGGATGTGGCTCAGTGGTAGAGTGCTTGCCTAGTATGCATAAAGCCCTGGGTTCTATTCCTCAGTACCACATAAACAGAAAAGGCTGGAAGTGGCACTGTGGCTCAATTGGTAGCCTTGTCCAAAGAGGCTTAAGGACAGTGCCCAGGCCCTGAGTTAAGCCCCAGGACTGGGGGAAAAAAAAAAAAGGAGAGAAAGAGAGAATGAGAGAGAGAGAGAGAGAAGGAAGGAAGGAAGCAAAGAGAAAGAGAAAAGGAGGGGAAATAGGGCAGTTTATTTTTTTTGTTCATCTGGGAGGAAAATAATTGCTAGGATCTGCCTTCCTTTCACTTTTGTTAAACTCCAGGGCAACCCCCAAGTTTCATTGGCTCTATCCAGTGATAAGAATTGAATGTCACTGGGGGGGAGGGGTGTCCTCAAGCACTCACCAGGCACAACCAAGGTATTTGAAGTCTCTTTAACTCTACAAATCAGAAGACAAACCAGGCTTTAGAAAATAGATGTTAAAATAAAAAATAAAAAATGGATGTAAACAAACAAGAGGGTTTTTTTCTTTGTTGTTGTTGTTGTTTTCTTTTCTTCAGTCTTGTTCGTTTACCTGTCTTTGGGAGGATAAGGGGGACATAGGAGTAGAGGGAGAAAGGGTGAACAAATACGGCAGTGGTACTCACTAGACCCTATGTGGATAATGAACTTTGCAACTTGTGGGTAAGGACAGTTGGGAAGCACTGGGAGAAAGGGAGGGAAGGGGTGCCATTGTCCAAAAAGAAATGAACTCTTTACCTTATGTAAGTGCAACCCCTCTGCATGTCACCTTTATAATAGCAATTTTTTAAAAATGTATGTACATTCCCACCTTCACGCGACAGGTAAAAAGTAAAAGTCATGCACAGAGGGGTTGCACGGACGTAAGTAATGAGCACATTTCCTTTCGAACAGTGTTACCCCCTCCCTCCCTTTCTCCCACTTTCCTCCCCCACCGCCACCTCTCCTCTCCCTCCCCAAGTGATAAAGTTCATTTCCAACAACGGGATATATCACTTCAACAGTGATACTCACGCGGCACTTTTTTAAGCACTTTATTTAAAGTTCTATGTTCGCGGTATTCGCTGGGCTGTTCGCGGCGACCCTTCCACGCGCTAACACAAACCGAGTCACGTGGCGCTTCAGCCGCCTCCCAGTCCGGAAGACACCTCCGTGCGAGCGAGTTAATGTGAGCCTCTGTGGCTTCTTAACCATTTCAAATATGGCCGCCAGGGTCCACGCTCCATTACCGCCGTCTCAGTGGCGACCATTCTGGCTTCATGCCCACTTCCAAAATGGCCTCCTCCCGCGGGACTGCGTCTCTTTGTGCGCACGCGCAGGAGCGAGGTCCTTTTTTTTTTTTTTTTTCCGGGCAAAATGGCGATGGGCTGGATGTGTGGACGCCGGGAACTTTTGCGCCTACTGCAGCCCCAGCAGCGGGTAAGACTACGCCGGGGTCGAGCGCCGGACGCTGCCCTGGTCTCTGTAACCTGAGTTGGGGATTGGGAGCAGATGTTGACCTGTGCACTGGAGCTTGCATGTCATGACCTCGTGTCGCCGGAGGACATCGGCTCTCCGGAGTCAGTGGCCCGGTTTCCATGTCCGTTTCCTGGGCATTTGCCAGGACTCGCGTGCTCCTCGACCTAGGCCTCTGAGCCCCGTGGTGCGTTTGCAGTAACTCAGAGGCTGGGCCCGGGTTCGAGCTCTACCTGCACTAACAGTTTGAGCCCGGAGGCCTCCAGGGATGGTAGGCTGCGTGCGGGCCTCTCGTACAGTTCGCCGTGAGGGGCCGTGCCCGCCCCGTTTCACTTTCCCCCAGTAACGGACCGACCTCCCTGTGCTTCTGCCTTACCAGTTCCGCAGCGTCTTGAGAGCTTCTTTATGGCCCCAGAAAGCACTGACAGCCGAGTTCCTGGTCCCCGCTGGCCCGGGCTGCGGGCGATCACACTATGTCCTCCTCTCTGCCTCCAGCCCCCGCTGCCTCAGTACTTCTGCCATCTCGTTTGCAGAAGCCCAGGTGAGAGATGTTTTGTTGCTGCAGCTTGATCAGTTTCTTTGCGTTCTGTTTTGTCTCTGATTTCGCATTTTACAAGGACAGGGTGCATGCGTAGCACAGTTCTTTTCAACTCTCTACACAACTGTCCAAAATATCTCTATTGGAATCGATTTGCAAATTAATGAGAAAAATGGTTGCTGAAGCAGTGGCAAACCCATGATGGAAATGTGAGCTGTGAATCATGTATCAGAAAACAGTGTAGCTAGGGTCTCCTGGCTCAGGCCTGTAATCCTAGCTGCGCAGGAGGCTGGGATCCGGTAGATCAAGGCCCCTAGGCAGTCCCAGCAGAAAAGTCTTGAGACTACATCTCCAAAATAACCAGCAAAAATAGCGGGCTAGAGGTGTGACTTAAGTGGTAGAGTGCCCACAGAGCAAGCAAGCTGAATGAATGTGAGGCCCTGAGTTCTAACCACTGGACTGGAAAAAAATAAAAACAGAATTTATTTAAATGAGATAGCTCATTGCCTAACCTGTACAAGGTCCTGGATTCAGTTCCCAGCATCAAAATAAACATCTTGGGCTGGGAATGTGGCTTAGTGGTAGAGTGCTTGCCTAACATGCATGAAGCTCTGGGTTCAATTCCTCAGTACCACATAAGCAGAAAAGGCCAGAAGTGGTGCTGTGGCTCAGTGGTAGAATGCCAGTCTTGAACAAAAGAAACTCAGGGACAGTGCCCAGACTCTGAGTTCAGCCCCAGAACTGGCAAAATAAATAAACATCTTAAGTTTAATAATTTCAATATGTGGCAGAAATCGTAGCACTGATATTTACACTGCTGACTGGGTAACAGCAATGTGAGAATCCTGGGAATTAACCTTGGAGAGAGCAAGAAATATAATCCAAACCAGGCTCCCATAGCTCATGCCTGTAATCTTACCTACTCTGGACGCTCAGACTTGAGGATTACAGTTCAGCTAACCTAGGCAATAAAGTCTGAGATTCTTACCTCCAGTTAAACATCAAAAAGCCAGAAGTGAAACTGTGGCTCAAGTGATAGATAGCCAGCTTTGAGTGAAAAAGTTAAGGGACAGTGCCCAGGCCCTAAAGTCAAGCCCCAGGACCAGCACACAATTTTTTTTTTTTTTTGGTCGGTCGTGGGGCTTGAACTCTGGGCCTGGGCGCTGTCCCTCAGCTCTTCAGCTCAAGGCGAGCGCTCTACCACTTGAGCTACAGCGCCACTTCTGGTTTTCTGGTGGTTTATTGGAGATAGGAGTCTCACAGTCTCTCCTGCCCGGGCTGGCTTTGAACCGCGATCCTCAGATCTCAGCCTCCTGAGTAGCTAGGATTACAGGCATGAGCCACCAGCGCCCGGCCATACAAATTTTTTTTAAAAAAAGAAAGAAAAATATAGAGAGACCTCACTGAGTGTCCCAATTACTGAATATGACATATGCTTCCTTTCACACAGATCCAGACTCCTGCTGTTCCTGCAGCTACCTCACCCACAGCAACACCCGACGTGGCTCTTGGAGAAACTGCAGATGCAGTGCAAGCTACTGTAGAACAGAGTTTTACTGAACTGGGGCTTGGGACATACACCCCAGTGGGACTGATCCAGAACCTCCTGGAATTTATGCATGTTGAAGTGGGCCTACCTTGGTGGGGGGCCATTGCTACATGTAAGTAGACTATATCTTGAATAAGAGTAGAGGAATACAGACTTAGAAATAGCAATTCAGGGGGCTGGGAATATAGCTTAGTGGTAAAAGTGCTTGCTTAAGCTGGGCTCACACCTCTAATCCTAGCTACTCAGGAGGCTGAGATCTGAGGATCACAGTTCAAAGCCAACCCAGTCAGAAAAGTCCATGAGACACTTATCGCCAATAAACAACTCAGAAAACCAGAAGTGGCATTGTGGCTCAAGTGATAGAGTGCTATCCTTGAGCTAAACAGCTGAAGGACAGCACCCAGGCCCAGAATTCAAGCCCCACAACCACCAAAAAAAAGTGCTTGCCTAGCATGCATGAAGCCCTGGCACATACACAGAAAAAGCCGGAAGTGGCGCTGTGGCTCAAGTGTTAGAGTGCTAACCTTGAGCAAAAGCAGCTGAGGGATAGTGCCCAGGCCCTGGCAAAAAGCCCCAGAACTGGCCAAAAAAAAAAAAAAGAGAGAGAGAGAGAGAAATAGCAATACAACCAGACATAGTTGCATGTACCTATCATACCAGCTACCAGGAGGAAGAGCACAAGTTCTAGACATAGTAATAGAACTCTGTATCAAAATCAAAACACAGCCAGGTGCTAGTGACCTGTAATCCTGGCTATAGAGGAAGCTTACATCTGAAGATTGAGGTTTGAAGCCAGCCCTGGTAGGAAAGTCCAAGAGACACTTATCTCCAATTAATTACCAAAAGCCAGTAGTGGAGCTATGGCCAAGTGGTAGCAAACTAGCCTTAAGCTCAGGGGCAGCACCCAGGCCCTTAATTCAATCCCCAGTACTGGTACACGCACGCACGCACGCACACCTTGAGTTCAAGCCCCATGACCAACCCCCCTCCCCCCCCCCCCAAAAAAAAAATGGAGTGGGAAGAAAGGGTTAGATAGGGTTAGAAACTGAAAGTTGACAGTTGTATGAATCGGTCAAGAAAATTTAGGAACCAGAAAAGTAGATGATTTAAATAAAGGGATTGAAGCTCATCATACTTAAATGCATTGTTTCCTAAAGGGATTGAAAAAGCAGAGATACTTAAATGTAAGCAGGGAATCGGGAGTTAATGGTTCTCATTGTATGTGTGTACCAGTCGTAGGACTTGAACTCAGGGCCTGGGCGCTGTTGTGAGCTTTTGTGCTCAAAGCTAGCACTCAACCACTTGAACCACAGCTCCACATGTGGCTTTTTGTGGTTAATTGGAAATAAAGAATCTCTGAGACTGTTCCTACCCAGGCTGGCTTCAAACCTTGATCCTCAGGTCTCAATCATCTGAGTATCTAGGATTACAGGCATGAGCCACCGTTCCCAGCTTAATGGGCCTTATAAATGAAAAACTGCCTGTCTAGATCAGGCACTTAAATTGGAAACCACTCACCTTCCCTCCTCCCCCCCTCCCCCCCCAGTTGTGGAGGCTTGAGCTTCAGTGCCACTTCAGGTTTTTGAGTGATTAATTGGAGAAAAGAATTGTACCCAGCTGGCTTCAGCTGCAGTACTCAGATCTCGCCCTCCTGAGTAGCTAGGATTATAGGCATGAGCCACCGCAGATGCCTATCTTACACTTATTTTTTTAATTGTTTGTGTATTATAAATGTATGTGTGTGTATTGTACAATTCCCTTAGGGGTTGAAAAGAAGTTTCCATTAGTAATAAAAACAAAGTTTAGAGGCCAGAACATAGAAAAGGAGCATCTATCACCTTTTTATTCAAGAAAACCAAAGGATCCCTTACCTGCTTAGAGAAGTTAATGCTAAGCTTTTGTGATGCCAAAGCAGAGAACTGAGTTGAGGGACTGCATAACCCTGTGCTTACTTCTGAGCCTTAAGCATGAATCAAATGTGAGAAGGGCTAGGATAACAGTATTACTTCAGTGAGAACCAAAACCTACCACCTAACTGCAGAGCTGCTTTCCTTTCACTCCAATCCTAGTTTGTGTTTTCAGGTACAATCCTTGCCCGATGTCTGGTTTTTCCTCTCATTGTGAAGGGCCAGCGAGAGGCAGCCAAGATCCACAACCACTTGCCAGAGATCCAGAAGTTTTCCACTCGAATCAGAGAAGCCAAGTTGGCAGGAGACTACACTGAGTGTGAGTCAGGTGCAGGGTGAACACTGGTGAAGACCACATTTGCATTTCTCTTGGCATTCTGCTGGGGGAAAGGAATAACCTAACCTGGACTTGCTACTGTTAAGCAAGTTCTAAACATTGGTCTGTTTCTTGAACCTAATGCTTTCAGGGACTGGTCACAGCAGATTAGAAGTATCATGAGCCAGGTGATCAGGATATTCACTAACTACAGTTAATTTCCCCTCACTTCACAGTTTACAAGGCTTCCACGGAGATGACGCTTTACCAGAAAAAGCATGATGTTAAGCTTTTTAGACCTCTCATTCTACCTCTGACTCAGGCAAGTGAAAACATTGCTCTTTTTAAAATTTTTATTTATATTTTTTTGTGCTGGTACTAATGCTTAAACTCAGGGCCTAGGCACTCTCCCTTAGGGTTTTTGCTCAAGGCTAGCACTCTATGACTTAAGCTTTTTGCAGATTAATTGGAGATTAGATCTCATAGATTTCTCGCTCAACCTGGTACCCAAATAGGATTTTCAGATCTTAGCCTCCTGGGTAGGTAGGTTTACAGGCATGAACCACCAGCGCTCCACAGGTTTCCCTTTTTTTTGTTGTTGTTGTTGGTCATGGGACTTAAACTCTGGGCCTAGGTGCTGTCCCTAAGTTCTTCAGCTCAAGGCCAGCGTTGTACCACTTGAGCCACAGCGCCACTACTGGTTTTCTTGTGGTTAATTGAGCTAAGAGTCTTACAGACTTTCCTGCCGGGCTGGCTTTTAACTGTGATCCTCAGATCTCAGCCTCCTGAGTAGCTAGGATTACAGGTGTGAGCCACAGGCACCTGGCCACATTTCCCTTATTTCATCTTTTTTTTTTTTTTTTGGCCAGTCCTGGGGCTTGAACTCTGGGCCTGGGCGTTGTCCCTCAGCTCTTCGGCTCAAGGCCTGCACTCTACCGCTTGAACCACAGCACTACTTCCGGTTTTCTCGTGGTTTATTGGGAGATTGCCCAAGCTGGCCTTGAACCATGATCCTCAGATCTCAACCTCCTGAGTAGCTAGGATTACAGGCGTGAGCCACCAGCACCCAGCTATCCTTATTTCATCTTGAACCTATCAAATTACCTCCATTTTTCATGCCCCAGATCTCCAAAAAGCATGTGGTGGTGATATGTGTAACTCTCAGTAAAGGGCTAATGAAAGCCTCCCCCGGCCAGGTGCTGGTGGCTCAGGCCCATAATCTTAGCTACTCAGGAGGCTGAGATCTGAGGGACATAGTTTGAAGCCACATCAGGCAAGAAAGTCTATTAAGACTCATCTCTAAAGCCAGAATTAGAGCTGTGTCTTAAGTGGTAAAGTACTAGCCTGAGACTGGGACAGTGCCTAGGCCCTGAATTCAACCCCTAGAACCAGTACAAAAAAAAACAACTACTGTGCTAAAGTGTGCTGACCCTGACAATGTTTATCCTCTGTAATAGGCTCCAATCTTCATCTCCTTCTTCATTGCCTTGAGAGAAATGGCGAACCTCCCTGTGCCCAGCCTACAGACAGGTGGCCTCTTGTGGTTCCAGGATCTCACAATATCTGATCCCATCTACGTATTACCACTAGTAGTTACTGCTACAATGTGGGGAGTCCTTGAGGTAAACCCAGCATGTCCTGCATGGTGAACAGGAAGTAGGGACTAGAGTACACTATAGTCTTCCTTCATTCCCAGGAGAAACCGAGTTGCTAGGCAAAAGATGAGAGCAAGATTCACTAAAACTGACATTCAACTCACTGTTTTCCTTTGCCCTTTCCCCTTTTTATCAGCTAGGTGCTGAGACAGGTATGCAAAGTTCTGATCTTCAGTGGATGAGAAATATTATCAGAGTGATGCCCTTGGCAGTCCTGCCCATCACCATCCACTTTCCCTCGGTTGGTAACAGCTTTTGAGCTGGCTCCAAGTCCTACCTCGGTACCTCCTGGCAAGCTGACTGAGGATGCAGGTTCTAAATACTTTCTCTATTCTCATGCAGGCAGTGTTCATGTACTGGCTCTCCTCCAATGTGTTTTCCCTGGCCCAGGTGTCCTGCCTCCGAATTCCAGCTGTGCGCACTGTTCTTAAAATCCCCCAGCGTATTGTGCATGACCCTGACAAACTACTCCCACGGGAAGGCTTCATAAAGAGCTTCAAAAAAGGTAAGGATAAGACTCAGGGAAAACAGTTTTAAGAGTGGGGAGGGGACTCAGTCTTACCCCCTCTTTACCCAGGCTGGAAGAATGCGCAAATTGCACATGAGCTCCAAGAGCGGCAACACCGCATGCAGAATCACTTGGATCTAGCAGCCAGGGGTAAATATCCTGTCATGCTAACTTGTCTTTTTGTTTCTTCTTTTCCTTTGTTCATTGACATTTGTTTTCTCTTCCTCTCAGGTCCCTTAAGGCAGACCTTTACCCACAACCCTCTGCTACAGCATGAAAAGAGTCACCCTTCCAATACCCCTAGCAGCAGCAGCAGCAGCAGCAGCAGCAGCAGCAGCAGCAGCAAGAAACCAAAGTCAACACAGCCCTGGCGTGACACACTTGGCTGACTTATGTTCCCTACTCATTGGGACAGGAATGCTTGTCTCTCCAAAGACTCATTCTCAAAGCAGACTTGACTCTGTCCTGGCCTCAGTCATAGAAACTGTGGCACATAGAGATGTTCTTTTTAAAAATGGATTCACTATAGACTCTTAGGCCTATGTGTCCAAAGAGAGCACTGAGGAGCTAAGTGATCTTCCCATCCACAAACTTAGTAAACCTCTGTACTACATGCTGTTCCTGGTGTTTATTACCTAGGAAAAGGAAATTATGTGCTTTAAAAAAGTGAACAGGCTGGGTCATGATTTCTCTTGATGACTTATGCTCTCAGGAAATTTTATGCCAGTCTTAGGACTTGAACTCAGGGCCCAGATGCTGTCCCTTAGCTTTTTCCACTCAAGACTGGTACTCTACCACTTTAGTCATAGCTCCATTTCCAGCCCTTTTTTTTTGTCAGTGGTGGGGCTTGAACTCAGGGTCTGGGCACTGTCCCTGTGCTCTGTACCTTGTCACTACCGGTTTTCTGGTGGTTTTGTTGGAGGTGAAAGAAACTGTCCTGTCATGGCTGGCTGCGGACCATAATTCTCAGATCTGAGCATAAGCACAAGCGCTCAGCTAATGTCCAGCTTTTTGATGGTTAGGTGAAGAGTCTCATGGACTTCCTCTCTTGGCTGGCTTTGAACTGTGATCCTCAGATCTCAGCCTCCTGAGTAACTTGGATTACAGGCATGAACCACTGGCACCTGGCTCTTGGGAAATATTTTAATGTTTTAACCTGGCATTAAGTGCTTATATACTGCTACTCACAAATGTATTCTACCCACATTTTCATTGTAATCACAGACGTATAACTGGTAAGACTGTATAGTAATCATTTCTGTTTTCTTTATTCTTGTGAGGCTAAGGATCACAAACTCTTAAGCAAGGTCTCTGCCACCATCAGTTTCCATTCCCCAACCAAATAGCCACTTTGTTTTTGTTTAAAGAGCTTAAACTCGGGGCCTGGGCACTGTCCCTGAGGTGTTTTTTTGTTTGTTTGTTTTTTGTCAGTCATGGAGCTTGAAGTCTGGGCCTGGGCACTGTCCCTGAGCTCTTCATCTCAAGACTAGTGTTCTAGCACTTTGAGCCACAGTACCACTTCCAGTTTTCCAGTGGTTAATTGGAGGTAAGAGTCTCACTGGACTTTCTTGCCTGGGCTGACTTTGAAGCACAATCCTCAGATCTCAGCCTCCTGAGTAGCTAGGATTATAGGTGTGAGCCACTGGCACCTGGCTGTCCCTAAGCTTTTTTGTTCAAGTCTGGCTAGCTAGCATCGTAACAACTTGAGCCACAGCTCCACCTCTTGCTTTTTGGTTTTTTAATTGGAGATAAGAGTCTCACAAGCTTTCCTGCCTGTGCTGACTTCGAACTGTGATCCTCAGATCTCAGCCTCCTGAATAGCTAGAATTACAGACAGCCACCGGCGCCCAGCTCAATAACCACATTTCTTTACCCAAGATGACTGAGTGTAAAAATTTCTTTCAAAAACTGGACTTGCTCAGATTCTTAATGTTGGAGACGAAAAATGAGCAGTAAAACTTTTATGCAGTATGTAACATTGTAGTGCAAATGTCCTGTCCGTAAAGATGGCCTTACGCTTTTCAGCAGCTTGCCTGAGAATCAAAAATGGATTGCTTTTCAACTGTTTTCTAAGCTAATGGGAGCCATCTAGTAAGCCACTTATACCATAGGAACATAACCCTTTTATTGTCCAGCATCTGTGACAGTTCCACATCTCTAAAGGAGACAAGTTTGGAGCAGTGTTGGCCCTTGTAAAGGAAAAGAATGGGTAGGCCCATCAGAGGTGCTATCAAACCAAGCCTGCCCATGACACGCTCACCCAGCAGTCTGTTTTATCATCCCTTTACAAAGTCTGGATCGATATGTAGAAAAATAAATAAATTACTTTTCATCTCTAAAGAGCAAGTTCAAAGGCTGAAGCTGCCTAAACCAGGCTTCTGGACAAGTCTCCAAAGAAGTGAGCTTTCCTTGTTTTCTCCCTTCACTCCAGCCAAGAAGTCCCAGCTTTCCACATGTCAGGATTCCAGATGGTATTTAATTAGACTTGGGATCTTGTTGCTTGGGCATCTCTCCATCTTCCAAATCCATTTCTGCAGCAACTGACATACATAGGATCTGGAGGTACTGTGTGGTAGATGCTACAAAGAGAGGTTTGAGTCAAAACAGAGATGAGGTCAGATAGGCTGAGTTAAGTGGCACTGAATGTGACTTGGCCTGAAGGATATGATTCAGTTAAGCCATAGGGTCAACAAGAATGGGTAAGGGCAGAGGTGACTGGGGAGCCTAGATTTGCATAAAACAGGCTTTCTGTGTAGCTGAGCTGACTGGAGGATCGGGCTTACCCACAATCTTTCGGAGGCAAACAGGTCGTTTGTGTTCTGGCACTCTGATGATGAGGAAGTAGAAGGGCAAGCCTGAGAGGGCAATGCCAATGCCGATGAGGGAGTTGATGGTGTCACTATAAAGTGGAACAGCTACCAGGAAGATGGTACAGAGACAGAAGACAATGGGGAAGAAGAGGCTGAGCTAAGGGCACAGGAAATAACAGTTAGCTTAGGATTCTCAACACAGTAACTCCACCTCCCATAAAGATCAGAGGTCTGAAGAGCTGGGGGAGTCATTCTTTGATAGAACACCCCATCCACTTAGCATACAACCATCATCTAGTCCCAAAGGTTTCTGTGGTGCTAGGATCACACATGGCCTAACAGAGCTGTATGCCCAACACGGCTATTGTCATTTGTTTGCTTTGGAGCTGGTATTGGGGCTTGAATTCAGAGCCTCCCACTCCCTCTTGCCTCTTTTGCTCAAGGCTAGTGCTCTACCACTTCATCCACACCTCCACTTCCAGCTTTTTGTTGGTTAACTGAAAAGTCTCAGATTTTTCTGCCTGGGCTAGGGTTCAGACCAGGATCCTCAGATCTCAGACTCCTGAGTGTCTAGGATTATAGGCATGAACGAACCACCAGCACCTGCTCACTTCGTTTTTTTTCCAGATAAGGTCTTGATGCCGTAGCTCAGGCTGGCCTCAAACTCTAAAGCCCAAAGTGGCCTCAAATTCATGATCCTCCTGCCTCAGCCTCCCAAGTGCTGGGATTACAGGCATGGACCACCATGTCTTTGTCTGGGCCAGGCAAAGATTTCTGCATAAACTATTTTGTAAGATCTGTAGCAGCAGCCCTAGCTGTCCCACATAGAATGGTAAGATACCTTGAGGGGGCGAGGTCGATCAGGCTCCTTCCAGCGCAGGTAAAGCTGACCCACAATAGAAAGCCCCACAAAGAACCAGTAGCTGAAGCTGTAATAGTTGATGAGCTGGAAGATGTCCTCCACACACAAGTAGATCAATGCCATGATACCCTGTAGACACAGGCCCAAGTCAGCCACAGGACCTCTGTTACTCAAGGTGCTTTTTAGTTCCCTTTATTCCCCACAAGCCGTTGACCAGCCCTCCCTGGTCAAGTCCTGAGTCTCCTTTTCAGTCCATTTTTCAAAACTTTACCAAGCTAACCCTCTGCAACACAACCCAAAACATTCCCTAAAAAAGTCTTCAGCAGGGGCTGGAAATAGGGCTTAGTGGTAGAGTGCTCACCTAGCATGCATAAATCCCTAGATTCAATTCCTCAGCACCATATAAACAAAAAGTGGGAAGTGGTGCTGTGGCTCAAATGGTAGAGCGCCTTGAGCAAAAGAAGCTCAAGGACAGTGCCTAGGCCCTGAGTTCAAACCCCAAGACTGGCAAAAAAAAAAAGTATTCAGCAGGGGCTGGAAAGGTGGCTTAATGGTAGAGTGCTTGCCTAGCATGCACAAAACCCTGGGTTCAATTCCTCAATACCACATAAACAAAAAACCAGAAGTGGTACTGTGGCTCAAGTGGTAGAGTTCTTTTTTATTTTTTTAGGGGGGTTCCGGTCATGGAGCCTGAACTCTGGGCCTGGGCGCTGTCCTTCAGCTCTTTAGCTCAAGGCTAGTGCTCTACCACTTGAGCCACAGCGCCACTTCTGGCTTTTTTCTTTTTTTGCTTATGTGGTGCTGAGAAATCGAACCCAGGACCCCAGGCATGCAAGGCAAGAGCTCTACCACTGAGCCACCTTCCCACTTTTTTTTTCTTTTTTTAAGTGGTAGAGTTCTAACCTTGAGCAAAAAGAAACTTGGGGATGGTGCTCAGGCCCTGAGTTCAAGCCCCAGGACTGACAGAAACAAAAACCAAAAACAAAAGTCTTCAGCAGCTAGGTGTTGGTGGCTAATGACTAATCCTAGCTAAGGAGGCTAAGATCTGAAGATCAAAGTTCAAAACCAGCTTAGCAGACAAATTCCAGAGACATCTCCAATTCACTAGTAAAGCTAAAGGTGGAGGCATGGTTCAGGCAGGAGAATGCCAGCCTTGGGAGGGGGGGGTTGGGCAGGGAGGGATGGACAAGAGACTGAGACCCTGAGTACCAAAAACAAATCTTTGGGCTGGGAAAGTTGCTCAGTGGTAGAGTGCTTGCCTTGCATGCATGAGGCCCTGGGTTCGATTCCTCAGCACCACATAAGCAAAAAGAAAAAAGCCAGAAGTGGTGCTGTGGCTCAAGTGGTAGAGTGCTAGCCTTGAGCTGAAGAGCTAAGGGGCAGCACCCAGGCCCAGAGTTCAGGCCCCCTGACCAGACCCAAAAATAAATAAATAAACAAAAACAAATCTTTTGTATATCCTCTCCATAATGACTCCAGTTGAAATTTTGAGCACTTTCTCCAACTTAACTCCACATACTTTGCTACAAGATGTTGTGATGCTATTCATCTTAGGCCCCTATCTTTACAATCTTAACCTTCAAAATCTCTTTCAAGCGGGTGCCGGTGGCTCACGCCTGTAATTCTAGCTACTCAGGAAGATGAGATCTAAAGATCGTGGTTCAAAGCCAGCCTGGGCTGGCTTTTATCTCCAATAAACCACCAGAAAACCAGAAGTGGCACTGTAATTCAAGGTAGAGCACTTGCCTTGAGCGAAGAGCTGAGGGACAGCACCCAGGCCCAGAGTTCAAGGCCCACCACCGACCAAAAAAAAAAATCTCTTTCAAGTACACTCCCTCCATGAGTCTTTCAGTCACCCTGTGTCCCTACAAGAAATGATCATGTCTTGTACTTAAGGCACAATTAGTCAGTCTTAACAATTCATCATTCCCATGTCTTCTGTGCACTTTATACCTTGGCACTCCTTAGAAAAGTTACATTCTGTCAGGAGCACTGCAGCATGCAGCACAGTGCCATGTACATTGTGGGTATTCCATCATTCCATCAATAGTTTTGCTTTGTACCAGTATTAGGCCTTGGACTCAGGGTTTGGATGCTGTCCCTGAGCTAGTGCTCTACCATTTGAGCCACAGCTCCACTTCGGGCTTTTTTGCTGGAGATGATCTCATGGACTTCTTGCCCAGGCTGGGCTTCCAACCATGGTCCTCAGATCTCTGAGTAGTTAGGATTAAGGTGTGAGCCATCAGAACCCAGCTCCTCCCCCCCCCTTTTTTTTTTGGAGGGGGCAGGGATCAGTCATGGGGCTTGAGCTTGGGCTGGATGCTGTTCTTGAACTTTTCTGCTCAAGATTAGCACTCTTCCACTTTACACCACAGCTCCAATTCTGTCTTTTTGGTGGTTAACTGGAGATAAGAGTATCCACTTGGGTTGGCTTAGGAATCTTGATCCTCAGATCTCAGCCTCCTGAGGAGCTAGGATTACAGACATGAGCCACCTGCATCCAGCTTATTCCAGCCATTTTGGGGGGGAGTGGGGGGCATGTCAGTCGTGGAGCTTGAAATCTGGGCCTGGGCACTGTCCCTCAGCTCTTCAGCTCAAGACAAGCATTCTACCACTTGAGCCACAGTGCCACTTTGGTTTTCTGGTGGTTAATTGGAGATAAGAGTCTTAGGGACCTTCCTACTCAGGCTGGCTTTGAGCCGGAATCCTCAGATGTCAGCCTCCTCAGTAGCTAGGATTATAGGTGTGAGCCACCAGTGCCTGGCCACCCAGCCATTTCTAACAATAGTTTTTCTATCAGAATCCTCCCTAGGGCTTTCAGGAAGCAAAAACAGCCACATATACTACTGCTACTAAAGTTCCTCCGCATCTGGCTTTCTAGCTTGGCCTTGAGATCACTCACATTGAAGAGCAGAGAAGGCACAGGTGTGAACCGCTGGACATGTATCATGCAGATGGCATCAGGAAGATGGCCTTCTCTCGAGCCCACAAAGAAAAGCCTATTTAGATAAGAAATGCTGAGTAAACGGGGAGACATGGTTCACTTGCCACAATTCCCTCCCTCTCTGTCATCCCTTCTGCATAAGCCTGTGGAATACAGAATGGAATTCTGTATTGAGTACAGTCTTGACAACTACATGCTACTCATGGGAACAATAAAAGAAATCTTAGGGTAGCACAGGTGAATTCCACCATCTCCTAATGTAGCTCTTCATACAACCCACCCTGCCAACAAAAGATGAAAATCTTACCTAGAAGCAGCCACAATGGAGGCATTGAGGCCACCAAAGCAAGATAATGCAACTGCCAGTGGAATTGTCCAATTGAATATTCCAAAAATCTGGTCTGCAAAAGTCTACAGAAAAGGTAGAGAAGTCATTAGCAGGGCCTAAAAGGGGTGAAAGGCATGAATAAGATACATATCTATTCAAGTTCTCCCTCTCTTGTAGTAAAGGTAACAGAACTTCCTTGCAAACTCAGTATGCTAGGTGTACTCAAGGCTATCTACCTCCTTTCTGGGAAGAGCTAGGATTATTCCCAGAAGCCCACAGTGTGCCCTCAAGCTCCTCCTGCTAGTGAAAATCTTTTTACCACAGCAACAGCATCACTGGCCAAGATGTCCTTCATCTCTAGCACGGTGTAATAGGCCACGTTGGTCAAGAGGTAGATAATGGTGACAACAGGCATGGAAATGCCAATGGAGAGAGGCAGATTCCTAAACCAAACAGAACAAAGGATGCATTAGTCTTACAGTTACATCCCTGCCTTACTCAGGTCATGGGACTTGAACTCTGGGCCTGGGCACTGTCCCTCAGCTCTTCAGCGCAAGGCTAGCGCTCTAACACTTGAGCCACAGTGCTCACTTCCAGCTTTTTCTGGTTATGTGGTTATGTGGTGCTGAGGAATCGAACCCAGGGCCTCAAGCATGCGAGGCAAGCACTCTACCACTAAGCCACCTTCCCAGCCCCCCACTAAAATGCTGATGCATTTCCCCAGTTCCTTTGTCTCTGAGTTTGTGTTGGCTAAGGCTCTGAACTCTTAGGAACTAAAGAGCATGAGGGACAAAGGCCAATCAAAAAAAGAGAAAGGATTCCAGACACCAGTAGTTCACACCTATAATCCTCGCTATTCAAGAGGCTGAGATCTGAGGATTGCAGTTTTCAAAGCCAGTCTGGGCAGGAAAATCCATGAGACTCTAACCTCCAATTAATTACCAAAAAGCTGGAAGTGGAACTGTGGCTCAAATGGTAGAGTACTAGCCTTGAGCGGAAAGGCTCAGAGACACTGTCCAGGCCCTATAAGCCTCAAGACTGGCACCAAGGGCTGGGAAGGTGGCTTAGTGGTGGAGTGCTTGCCTAGCATGCATGAAGCCCTAGGTTAATTCTTCAGTACCACATAAACAGAAAAAGCTGAAAGTAGTTCTGTGGCTCAAATGGTAGAGTACTATCCTTGAGCAAAAGAAGCTCAGGACAGTGCCCAGGCCCTGAGTTCAAGCCCCAACACTGGCAAAAAAAAAAAAAAAAAAGAAGACAACACACACACAAAAAAAAATTTGGTAGGTCGTAAGGCTTGAATTCTGGGCACTGTCTCTGAGCTCTTTAGATCAAGACTAGCGCTCTACCACTTGAGCCACAGTGCCACTTCCAGTTTTCTGGTGGTTAATTGGAGATAAGTGTCTCAAGGACTTTTCTGCCTGGGCTGGCTTTGAACTGAAATCCTCAGATCTCAGCCTCCTGAGTAGCTAGGATTACAGGTGTGAGCCACTGGCACCTGGCCAAAAAAAAAAAAAATTTAAGAAAGGGTCAGGCACCAGTACTTTAAACCTATAATCCTAACTACCAAAGTAGCTAAGATCTGGGGATTCTGGTTTGAACCCAGCCAGGGCAGGAAAGTCTGTAAGATTGTTATTTCTAATTAACTAGCAAAAAAAAAAAATTTAAGTGAAGGTTATGATTCAAATGGTAGAGTACCAGCTTTGAGTAAGAAAGCTAAAGGACAGGGGCTGGGAAGATGGCTCAGTGGTAGAGCGCTTGCCTTGCATGCCTGAGGCCCTGGGTTCGATTCCTCAGCACCACATAAGCAAAATGAAAAAAGCTGGAAGTGGCGCTGTGGCTCAAGTGGTTGAGTGCTAGCCTTGAGCTGAAGAGCTGAGGGACAGCGCCCAGGCCCAGAGTTCAGGCCCCACGACCGGACCCAAAAAAAAAAAAAGAAAGCTAAAGGACAGCACCCAGGCCCTGGCCTTAGTTCAACCCTCAGTACTGCTGAGGAGAGAAGAGAGAGAGGAGAAAGGAGGGGGAGGTGGGGGGGGGGGGGGAGAGAGAGAGAAAGAGAAAGAGAGGGAGAGGGGATCACAGCATGAAAACAACCTGGAAGATTAGATGAGACTGGTTTTATTTTTATATCCAAAGCTCTCTTAGTATCAGAACTACTCTAAGATCATCAACCCTGGAAATTTTGTCTTAAGACTAGAAATAATAGATAGGGGACAGAAAAAAACAATGGAAGGGGTGACACCGATCAAGATGTATTAAACTCATAAATTGACATGCTGAATTGAAACCCCTTTAACTACTTAAAGATAATTTTAAAAAAGACTAAGAAACATAATAAGAAATAACAAAAGCAAGTTGTGAAATCTAAAAGCTTCAGAGAATAAACTAGACCTTCAGTAGGAAGAGCAGTATGTATTGTCATGTCCCGTGTGTGTGTGTGTGTGTGTGTGTGTGTGTATGTGCGCGCACGCGCGCACGTATGAACACAAGCAACCTGGGAGGTGATTCCACCCACCCCTTGATCAGTTTTAGAACATAAGACATCATTCTAAATAGTGGCCAAGAGCAAGAACTCTCAAGGTCCCTCTAGCCTAAAAGCATCATGAACTTTAAAAACAACCTGCAGAGAGATTTCAAGAGAGGTGAAGGGGGAAGGCCCTCTTCTATTATTCACCTTCTGTCCAGTAGGTGGAAGCACCATTCAGACCTGGGCCTGCCTCTACTATCCCAGCGCTCATTGGTGCAACACCAACTTTTTTTGGTGTACTAAGAGTGCTCTTTGGTTCTTAAAGCCAAAGGAGTTGATTGGAATATAGTTGTTATTCTCTTAAAAATTCTTAAAATTGTGGTCCCTGTCAAATCTTAGTTTCAGAATCATGATATTTTGGAGCCAGGAAAAGAGCCCTAGAGATCCTATAACTGAGTATCCTCAATTTCAAGAAAGATAAAAGGCATTGCAAAAAAGGCAGGGCAATTCCCTCAAGGTCATCCAACAAATCAGTGGAAAGACAAACTCCAGGCACCTTGTCCTTCTACAGGACAAGGCAAATCAGAGTAACTGAAGAGTGATGCACTTGAATGACTAAAGCTGTACCACACAGTCAGAAGGAATTAAGTTAGCAAGATATCCTAATGGAAACCTAAGGAGGTTTCTGAAAGTCTGTGACCTAACTTTATTGTCAATTGGCTAGGATGGGTGAAAGATTTATCAAGGAAAAAAAATAATCTGTGTGTGTGTGCTAGTACTGAGGCTTGACTCAGGATCTTGAGCTCATTTGACCTTTTCATTCAAGCCTGGCATTCTATTATTTGAGCCACACTTCCACTTCTGACTTTTGGTGGTTAACTGGAGATAAAAATCATGAACTTTTCTTCCCAGGCTGGCTTCAAACCACAGTCCTCAGATTTTAGCCTCTTAAGTAGCTAGGATTATAGGCATGAGCCATCAGTGCCCAGCAAGAAAAGAATTTAATTTTGCTTTGTTTTTGTTTTTTGGTTGGTCATGGGGCTTGAACTCTGGGCCTGGGCGCTGTCCCTCCACTCTTCAGCTCAAGGCTAGCACACTGCCACTTGAACCACAGGGCCACTTCCAGTTTTCTGGTGGTTAATTGGAGGTAAGAGTTTCACGGACTTTCCTGCCTGAGCTGGTTTTGAACCAAGATCCTGAAGTCTCAGCCTCCTAAGTAGCTAGAATTACAGATGTGAGCCACCAGTGCCTGGCTTTTTTAATTTTTTTTTTTTTTTTTTTTTTGTCCGTTGTGGGGCTTGAACTCTGGGCCTGGGCGCTGTCCCTCAGCTCTTCAGCTCAAGGCCAGCGCTCTACCACTTGAGCTACAGTGCCACTTCCGGTTTTCTGGTGGCTTATTGGAGATAGGAATCTCACGTTCTCTCCTGCCCGGGCTGGCTTTGAACCGAGATCCTCAGATCTCAGCCTCCTGAGTAGCTAGGATTACAGGCGTGAGCCACCAGCGCCCGGCTCTTTTTTAATTTTTTAATTGTTATTATAAAGGTGATATACAGAGGGGTTACAGTTACATAAGTCAGATAAGGAGTACCTTTCTTTTTGCACAATGTCTCTCCTCACCCTCCCCCCCCCCAGTGAAAAAAAATTTTTGAAATTATACATCAACATGATTGATATACTTTACTTGCATGGATAAAAAAAAAGAACAATGAAACCTGCTGGAATTGCTTTCAAAAGGAAAAGTAGAATGGGTGAGAGAGATCAAAGAGGCGAGGTTGATCAACATTGTTTACACATATGGAAATGTCACAATGAAACCCTCCTTGTACAACTAATGCAAGGTAAAAATAAAACATGCAGAAGCATATACAACCTGCTTTAATTAATGCATGCACGCATGCATGCATGAAAGAATATTTGAAAATTCCTTTTAATGAAAAATTCATAGCCAGTTACCCGTTGCTCATACCTGTAATCCAACTCAGACTGAGAGCAAGATCACAGTTTTAAGACAGTCTTATGAGGGAAAAGTCTAAGAGACTCCACCTCCAATTAACCAGCAAAAAGCAGAACTGATAGGCAGTGATGGTTGATAACTGTAATCCTAGCTACTCAGGAGGCTGAGATCTGAGGATCAAAGTTTGAAGCCAGCTCAGATAGAAAATTCTATGAGACTCTTCTTTTTTTTTTTTTTTTTTTTTCCTTTTGCCAGTCCTGAAGCTTGAACTCAGGGCCTATGCACTGTCCCTGAGCTTCTTTTGCTCATTGTTAGGACTCTACCACTGAGCCACAGTGCCACTTCTAACTTTTTCTGTTTATGTGATCAGTACTGAGGGCCTCATGCTTGCTAAGCAAGTACTCTACCACTAAGTCACATTCTCCCCCAATGAAATTCTTATCTCCAATATAACCAGCAAAAAGCTGGAAGCAAAGCTGCAGCTCAAATGGTAGCACGCTAGCCTTAAGCAAAGAAGTTGAGGGACAGAACCTAATCTCTGAGTTCAAGCCCCAGAAATGACATACACCACACACACACACACACACACACACACACACACACACACACAAAGCAACAACAACAAAGGCGGGCACTGGTGACTCACACCTATAATCCTAGCTACTGAGATCTAAGGATCCCGGTTCAAAGCCAGCCCAGGTAGGAAAGTCCTTGAGACTCTTGTCTCTAATAAAACACCAGAAAAATCAGAGGTGGCACTGTGCCTCAAGTGGTAGAGTGCTAGCCTTGAGCTGAAGAGCTGAGGGACAGTGCCCAGGCCCAGAGTTAAGCCCCAGGACTGACAAAAAAAAAAGAAGACATACGTCAACTAATAGAGTGCTAGCTGAACAATGAAGCTGAGCAAGTTCAGAGGTATGAATTCAAACTACAGTACTAGCATACACAAAAAAAGGACTTTGCAAGACAGGCCCAAGAAAGCTCAGTTCGCTGGGCACCGGTGGCTCACTCCTGTAATCCTAGCTATTCAGAAGGCTGAGATATGAGGATCGCTGTTCAAAGCCAGCCCGGGCAGGAAAGTCCGAGAAACTCTTTTTTTTTTTTTTTTTTTTTTTGGGGGGGGGGTCTGGTCGTGGGGCCTGAACTCTGGGCCTGGGCGCTGTCCCTCAGCTCTTCAGCTCAAGGTTAGCGCTCTACCACTTGAGACACAGTGCCACTTCTGCCTTTTTTTGCTTATGTGGTGCTGAGGAATAGAATAGGACCTCATGCATGCAAGGCAAGCACTCTACCACTGAGCCACCTTCCCAGCCCTCCATGAAACTCTTATCTCCAATAAACCATTAGAAAACCACAAGTGGCGCTGTGACTTAAGGGTAGAGTGCTTGCCTTGAGCTGAAGAGCACAAGGACAGCACCCAAGCCAAGTTCAAGCCTCAGTTCAGTTCCTGAGATACTGGGCAAATTCAATCTGGGCCTTAGCCCTCCCATTTATGGAAATTATGCTGATGAAATTATACCAGAGGCAGCAGCCACACAGTAGGAGTTTAACTTAATGGATATCGTTGCTATGGAAAATCAGCAGTGAGGTACCTACCTCTCAGGGTTCTTGATCTCTTCAGTGACATAGTTGAGGGTGTCCCAGCCAGAGTAGGAGAACAGAGCTGAGTACAATGCCAGGGCAATGTCACCCATTGCAAATGATGAACCCTCAAAGGAGTTCTCAAAGTTAGCGGAGGCTCCTAGAACCCAAGAACAATGGAAAGCAGAGGATTAGTGGCCTGCTCCCCCAACCCTGAGATGATCCAATAGAGAAGTGGAATACAGGGCTGGGAAGGTGGCTCAGTGGAAGAGCGCTTGCTTTGCATGCATGAGGCCTTGGGTTCGATTCCTCAGCACCACATAAACAGAAAAAAAAAGCCAGAAGTGGCGCTGTGGCTCCAGTGGTAGAGCACTAGCCTTGAGCTGAAGAGCTGAGGGACAGCGCCCAGGCCCAGAGTTCAGGCCCCATGACCGGACCCAAAAAACAAAGAGAAAGAGAGAGAGAGAGAGAGAGAAAGAAAGAAAGAAAGAAAGTAGAATACAGTGATGAAACAGGTAAATGGCTTAGAACACCTCTAATAGGAGAGTACAGTGAAAGAAAGGAACAGAAGACAGGCCAGGATGGAATAATGGGATCCTAACAGGAAAACCCAGGTAGCATGCACGTGAGTGCATGCTTTCGCATAGAGGGGCGGGGGGCGGGGGGGGGGGGGGGGGGGGGAGTGTATTGGGCTTGAACTCAGGGCCTGGGCACTGTCCTTTAGCTTTTTTGTTCAAGGCTAGCACTCTACAACTTGAGCCACACCTCCACCTCCAGGTTTCTGGTAGTTAACTGGAGATAATAGTGTCACAGACCTTCCTGCCTGGGCTAGCTTCAAACTGGGATCCTCAGATGTCAGAGTCCTGAGTAGCTAGAATTATAGACCCACACAAACTCCTAGTGGCTTTCCAAGATAATTAACAACCACAGAACAGAAGGGCCAGAGAACAGGAGCAGTATTCTGTCTGCTCTCCAGGATGCCTGGGTCCTGTCCCCTTTATACTAGCCAGGGGTAGACACAGGGCAGAGGAAAGTTAGGCCTCAGTATGCCCATCCAGGTCAACAGAGTGATTGTAGGGTAAATTCATAGCTGGAAACTAGCAAGGAGGTCATTTCTGACCTTACCCACTTCCAAGGGCAGAAAGGTCAAACTAATATCCCTGACAGCAATCTCTAACAGCCAATTCCCTGAACATGTCTGGCAGCCTCTTTGCTAAGACACCTCTTAGCTAAAGGACAGACTGCCTAGTTATAAATTTCAGCCTCCCTACACTAGGAACTTAGCCAAGAGACTTGATTCTGTAGCCAATTTCCTGGCTGGTAAAAAAGGGAAAAATAAGGTCAGGTGTTCAGTGGCCAATGTCTGTAATCCTAGTTACTCAGGAGGTTGAGATCTGAGAACAGCAGTTCAAAGCCAGCTGGGACAGATAGGTATCTAAGACTCTTATTTCCAAATAGTCAGTAAAAAGCTCAGAAGTGGGGGTGACTCAAGTGGTAGAGCACCAGCCTTCAGTGGGAAAAGCTTAGCACAAGACCTTCAATTCATGCCCCAATAGCAGCTCACACACAAAAACGGAATAATGTTAATAATAATAATAATAAGGCCTACTAAATAAGGATCTTGGGACACCCAGATTAAATAAGGGACAAAGTATGTATGAATGTGATCCACCAAAAAAAAATGCATAACAAATGTTATTTCTTACCCTGGCCAAGTCTAACAATGCCTGCAATGATAACAGCAATCAGCGCCACTACTTTAGCATATGTGAAGAAATCTTGCACCATGGTTCCCCACTTGACATAGGCACAGTTAACGAAGGTTAAAAGACCTGAAAGGAAAATAACATCAGTTGGTGCCTGACACTTCCCACTCAGAGAGCCTCAGACTCCCAAGCAATTTTTTTTTGGGGGGTCGGTGATGGGGCTTGAACTCTGGGCCTGGGCACTGTCCCTCAGCTCTTCAGCTCAAGGCAAGTGCTCTACCAATTGAGCCACAGCACCACTTCCAGTTCTCTGGTGGCTTATTGGAGTCTCATGGATCGTGCCTGGGTTGGCATTGAACCATGATCCTCAGATCTCAACCCCCTGAATAACTAGGATTACAGGCATGAGTCACCGGCAATTTTTAAATCCAAGATCACTCACCAACATAGACCCTTCGGCCTAAATCAGCTTATGTATTTGGTCTCTGCCCTGCTCTGCCTCACAGTATCTTCACCATTTCCATTCACAGGGCACTTGCTGGACACACAACTTCACCCCAGCCCAAGCCCCCAACTCTTTATATGGAAAGACACAAAAGAGCAATAATCTTAAAATACTCAGGAAGATGAGATCTGAGGATCATGGTTGAAAGCCAGCCTGGGCAGGAAAATCCACGGGACTGTTATCTCCAATTAACCATCAAAAAAGCCTGAAGTGGAGCTGTAGCTCAAATGGTAAGAGTGCAAAAGAAAAAAAGCTTAGGGACAGTACCCAGTCCCTGAGTTCAAGGCCCAGGACTGGCACAATAAAAATAAAATACAGGCACTAGGAGTTTTGGCTCCATGATATTAACCTTGAGGAATCCTGTTGTGATTTATCCAGGGTCTGGGCCAGCAGGTCAGGGCAGAAGGTCAAGGACTAGGATGGAGGCCAGTGCCTGCCAACTTAGATGCTTGTTTTGAGCCTGCAAAAATTCTTACAGCTAAGAGCAGTTCTTGTAGAATGAAAACAAGGCATTTCTCCTGATTGAACAATGCAGAAGCAAGAGCTATACACATTCCTCACATCCTTGTACTCTGGAGTACAGTCAATCCCTTTACCTGGGTGAGCTGCAGTAAAATTCATAGTTCACCTTTAGAGCCAGGTTCTTAACAAGGCCTGAAATTCTCTAGCCAATTGTTAATATGTCTGAGTATATACACTTGTCTATTAAAAGATTCTCTATCTTTCATCAAAATCTCAAGAGAAAGCCGAGTGCCAGTGGCTCACACTTGTAACCCTAGCTGAGGCTGAGATCTGAGGATCGTGGTTCAAAGCCAGCCTGGGCAGGAAAAGTCTGTGAGACTCTTATCTCCAATTAACTACCAGAAGTGGGACTGTAGCTCAAGTGGCAGAGGGCTTGCTCATCTTGAGATGAAGAGCATAGGGACAGTGCCCAAGCCCAGAATTCAAGCCCCACAACTGACCAAAAAAAAAAAAAAAAAAGATCCTCAAGAGGAGGGGCCAGGCATGTATACTCATACCTGTAATCATAGCAAGTTGGGAGGCAGACATAAGGAGGATCATGGTTCAAGGACAGCCCAAGCAAAAAGTTATGAGACTCCATCTCAACAAACAATGCCTCAGTGATTCCAGCCAAGCAAAAGCAGTATATAGGAGGATCATAATCTGAGGCTGCCCTAGATAAAAAACAAGATGGATGCCAGTGGCTCACACCTGTAATTCTAGCTACTCAGGAGGCTGAGATCTGAGGATCACGGTTCAAAGTCAGCTCTGGCAAGAAAGTCCAGTGAGACTCTTATCTCCAATAAACCACTCAGAAAACCAGAAGTGGTGCTATGGCTCAAGTGGTAGAGTGCTAGCCTTGAGCTGAAGAGCTGAGGGACAGCGCCCAGGCCCAGAGTTCAAGCCCCACAAAAAAAAAAAAAAAAAACCACAAATGACTAGTATAACTCAAGTGGTAGAAAGCCTACCTAGAAAGCATGAGGGGGAAAAAATCTCAGAGAAGGGACTACAGTGTAGCTCTGTGGTAGATCATATGCTTAGCAAGTCTGAGGTCCTGGGTTCAAACCCTAACACCAAAAAATAAAAATCATCTCCAAGAAATCCATTAACTTCATTACTCCTTTCCCCCAGAAAAGTTATACTCCATTATTTTAGAAGTTCAAGAAGGGAAGCCCATAGATGGAAGCCAGTCAGAAGAAAAACTTTTAGGTTCATTCCAAGTCTCTCAGCCCCTTTGTCAACTGTAGGCAAGTCCATGCACACAGCTACCCCAGGCGGCATGGTAAGCCACTTCATGGCTCCTCCCTCAGTTCAGCAACTGAAACACCATGCATAGTGGTACCAACCTGGAATCGCAATTCAAAGCCAACCAGAGCAAAGTGTTAACAAGATACCCCTCTCCTATCTCAACTACAAAGCCAGGTAAGGTGATATGTGCCTGCAATCCTAGCTATGGATGAAGATGATTATGGTCTCAGGCCCACATAGGGCAAAAGCAAGAGATCCTATCTAGTCTACTTCATTGTGAAAAGCAAGAAAAACTGGCCTCTGGGAACAGCTACTCTGCCTTCCACCCCCATTCTATTCCCGCCTACATTCTTTCCAGCTCTTCCTGAGAAGGGCACTCCAGTCCTATTCAAACACCTGCCATTCTGCCTAATAAACAAGACAATAAACAACTAAACCTTATCACAAGGCTTGGCAAAAATGCACCCACTGCTCTAGGCCATCCAGGTGCTAAGTTAATAATTAAAGACACAAGTGTACAGTCTCCCCAGGAATCCTACATGTCCAAAGGGCCTGTATCTTGCCCTCCACAAATCTGTCAGATATGTTGATTTTCCTCAGCTGAGGCTCAGCCAGTCATCCCTCCCTTACTACCTGGACTTCCACCTCCAGCAATTCAACAGTCTGCACTCCCCTTCTCCCCATATGTAACCTCTGCCCCGTAATTCCAGACTTGGCTGGTGGCTTGTGATGGCAATGCAAGCCAACCTTCCCACTCAAACATCCGGTGCAAGTGACATTGCTGTGTGCATCAACCCCTCATATGCATTCCAGCTTAGCCTGTGTGGTAACTGTGTGTCCCAACACTCAACTGGAATAGAACAGAAGGGACTAATGCTAGTTCACAATCAAGAATCTGAGCCAACCCAGTGCTGGTGGCTCACGCCTGTAATCCTAGCTACTCAGAAGGCTGAATTCTGAGGATGATGTTCAAAGCCAACTCAGGCAGCAAAGTTCAGGAGACTCTTTCTTACCTGCAATTACGCACATAAAAGGTCAGAAGTGGAGCTTTGACTTAACTGATAAGAGTGCTAGCCTAGAGCAAAAAAACTCAGAGACAATGCCCAGGCCCCCAGGACATACACACAAGGACGCGTGGACTGATGGACACACAGACGGACACACACACACACACACACACACACACACATATGCATGCACACGTATAAACAAGTCTGAACCAGACACCAGTGGCTCACTCCTATAATCCTAGTTACTCAAGAGGCTGAGATCTGTGGATCACAGTTCCAAGCCAGCCAGGGCAGCAAAGTCAGTGAGACTCTTATCTCCAATTAACCAGTAAAAACTGGAAATGGAGGTATGACACAAATAACAGCCAGCCAGCCTTGGGTGAAGAAGGGACAAAGCCTAAGCCCTGAGTTCAAACCCCAGTATTGACACACATGAAAAAAAGTCTGAAGCTAAAAACCATAGCATTCTCTTCTTAGATCTGCCCAAAGAAGAACTGGACAGAGAAAAGTAGGAACAACCAATCAATTTATTACCCTTTACTACAGCAATTTCTGCAATGAGGATATATATTTGGGGGTTCTTTCTGTTTTTTCTTTGGTGCCAGTACTTTGGGCTTAAACTGAGGGCTTGGATGCTGTCTCTGAGCTTTTTTTACTTATAGCTAGCACTCTACCACTTGAGCCACAGCTCCACTTCTGTTTTTTGGTCTCCTAAATAGCTATGACTATAAGAGGTTTTTTTCTGTTTTAATCCCTCCTGCTTCTCTACTTCCATACCCATCCGTAAGAATCCCTTCTCTAACCTCTATGCTTCTCCTTCCCCCCACCACTCTACCTTGATCTGTTCTTGGTATTGAGTACAGGGGCACAGTGTGAATGCAGCAGGAAATCCTACAGAAAGAAGCCAGGGAACAGAAGGAACTGCCTAAAGAGAGCTAGCCCTCACTCCCCAGAGCCCTGCTTCCTCCATAACCTACTGGCCACAGAATCAGGAAATGAATATGAGTGCTGTCCAAGCTGTTTATCCTCAGGCCAGCCAATACAGCTGACCAGGCACCAGTCAGCCAAGTGTACAGTTCTTCAAGAGGAGTCTAGAGCCGGGCGCTGGTGGCTCACGCCTGTAATCCTAGCTACTCAGGAGGCTGAGATCTGAGGATCGTGGTTCAAAGCCAGCCCGGGCAGGAGAGACCGTGAGACTCCTATCTCCAATAAACCACCAGAAAACCGGAAGTGGCGCTGTAGCTCAAGTGGTAGAGCGCTCGCCTTGAGCTGAAGAGCTGAGGGACAGCGCCCAGGCCCTGAGTTCAAGCCCCACGACGGACCAAAAAAAAAAAAAAAAAGAGGAGTCTAATCTCCTGCTTCAAAACAGGAGGGGACCACAGGCTCAGAATAATAGAGACTGATGCAAATTAATCTCAAAGATAGAGATGCTGTACCCTTCTAGCGCTTTGAGCATAGCTCAAAAGGTAGAGGACTTACTTGAGTTCAAACCCCTGTACTTCCAGAAAGACAAACAGAAACACAAAAACATACAGAGACAGAGATACCTCCAGGAGCCATTTAATCTCTACCCAACAGTAGGCCAAATCCTTAAGTGACCTTTAACCCTTGACCCAAATGCAGCTTCATTCTCGCTATAATCCCAGGAGGAAGAGGAGGGATGAAGATGAAGACATCTTAAGAGCTAAAAAGATGCTGCTAAATTGGATCATCAGACCAGATCCAGCCTATGGATCCTACACCCAGAAACTATCAGATGTGTTTGATCCAGAAAGAAACAATGCTAGCAGGTCCTCTGTGGATTGGTGCCCAAGTTTAGTTTAGATAACAAAGTAAACTAAACAGTTTCTGAAAAGAACATG